GGGTCGCGGGCCGTCCGCTTGGAAGGAATGCAAAAAAAACCCGCCGCAGGCGCCGAAAATTGTGTTTTGTACCTTGAACGTGCTTTGGGTCGACGGTGGGTCGCGGGTGGGTCGCGGGGTGGGTCGCGGGTGGGTCGCGGGTGGGTCGCGGGTGGGTCGCGGGTGGGTCGCGGGCGGGTCGCGGGGTGGGCGCGCGGGCGGGTCGCGGGGTGGGTCGCGGGGTGGGTCGCGGGTGGGTCGCGGGTGGGTCGCGGGTGGGTCGCGGGTGGGTGGGTCGGGTGGGTCGGGTGGGTCGCGGGGTGGGTCGCGGGGTGGGTCGCGGGGTGGGTCGCGGGGTGGGTCGCGGGTGGGTCGCGGGTGGGTCGCGGGGTGGGTCGGGGTGGGTCGCGGGTCGCGGGCGGGTCGCGGGGCGGGTTGCGGGTGGGACGACGACAACAAACAACAACAACAACAACAACAACAACAACAACAACAACAACAACAACAACAACAACAACAACAACAACAACAACAACAACAACAATCATCTTAAGACTGATCGCTCTTATATGCGCGCGCGTCACTCAATATGTAAATCCCAAACCCTCGATACCCACCCTCTTCGTCTTCGGTCATACCCCTTTGGGGGTATATCTTTTTTACTCGCCACGTGTAGTTGGCGCAGCCCCTAAAACAGGAAGAGCAGGGGGAAGGAGGAAGGGAGAGCGAGGAGGAAAAGAGTGGGGGGGACACACAACGGGAACCCCTCCGCCAGGTCGGGGAAAAATACTGTGTCCGCCGGGGGGGATCAAGAATAATTATTCTTCAATATTGAGAGTTCAGCAGGGCTCAGTTGTGAGGGAGGTCCCAGGCGGGAGCGCCGCTCCCGGAGTAATGTGCGAGGAAGTCTCAGGCGGGAGCGCCTCCGCCTGAGTAAACTGCGAGGAAGTCCCAGGCGGGGGCGGGGGTCCTGAGTAAATGTGGAGGAAGTATCAGGCGGGAGCCGTTGTTGTTGTAGTCCGGGGGGCCAACAACACAGTTTGATGCTCAGTTGTGAAGGAGGTCCCAAGCGGGAGCGCCGCTCCCGGAGTAATTTGCGAGGAAGTCTCAGGCGGGAGCGCCTCCGCCTGAGTAAACTGCGAGGAAGTCCCATGCGGGGGCGGGGGTCCGGAGTAATTTGCGAGGAAGTCTCAGGCGGGAGCGCCTCCGCCTGAGTAAACTGCGAGGAAGTCCCAGGCGGGGGCGGGGGTCCTGAGTAAATTTGGAGGAAGTATCAGGCGGGAGCCGTTGTTGTTGTTGTCCGGGGGGCCAACAACGCAGTTTGATGCCCACGACTTTCCCTGATAAAAAACAGGGTGCGAGCCCCGGAAGGGGCACTTCAATTGAAAAATACAATGTCCGCTGGAGGGGGGGATCAACAATAATTAGTCTTCAGTAATTAGAATTCAACAACAACAACAGCAGCAACAACAGCAGCAGCAGCAACAACAGCAACAACAACAACAAACAACAAACAACAATGGTAATCCGCACCGCGGAATCCCTTTTCAGCCACGCACCCAGGGACAGTGAATCAACCGTTCGGCCCCCTCACTCTGACATCGGGATCAAATGATCGAGTGATCGAAGGCGTTGTTCCTGCGGCGTCGGACGAGGCCGACGACGTTGCCCTCGTAGCGTGGAATTTCCATGCACGAAGCCCTTCGCGTCGGGAGTTGGCATCAACTTGATCTCCGAAGCCATCCCTACCTGTTCCTAAACATCTCAAGAATAAACAACGGGCCAACGATCATCCGCGTCGCCGCCCCCTCCCCCGCCGCCGCCGCCAAGAGGGGGCCCTCCTCCTCCGCCACCTCCGCCCCTGGCCGGGCCGTTGGCAGGAGGTGGCGGGTCGGGCGGCCCCTCGGGAACGCCCGGCGGCCTGGGCGGAGAGCCCTTCGGACGGCTAGAGAACTTCGGGGAGCGTCGGCACGTCGCGAAAACGTCGTTCCAAATGCACTTGGGAAGTGCACTCGACGTCTTTGAAAGCAGGAAATCCCGACTTGTCTCCCTTCGTCCTTAGTTTTTTTTTAAAAAAGCTTTCTCAAAATCCTTTCGTTTCTCACGCGCACTCATGGGGGTGCCATTCTGCTCCGCAGCAAGGCCAGCCATGCGCGCCTGCCCTTCCCATTGTTGAGAACGCCAGCGTTCCTCATCCTGGCGGGTTCGGGCAGCTTCCGATTCAGCTTCCGACATGTCCCGACTGCGTTGCTTGCGTCGCTCAGCCACGGGGTCGACGCGGGCATCGCAACATGGCAAGGCACATTGGGCGCAATTGAACTCCCTTACATTATGACAGAATTGACACCTCCGTGCGTCTACAGGGGCTACAGCGACGCGCATCTGCGGCTTTCTCTCCGGAGCCTGGTACGTTGAGATTTCTGGCATCAAAGGCTGAGCCTCGAAAGCCAGCCCACTCGACCTACCGCTCCCCGACGAACGAGCTCTCGCTTGCACCTTAGCGGCAAGTGGGATCATTGCAGGGTCGCCCGCGCTACGGACCGAGTCCGCGGCACAGGCATCGCCGCCCCACTGTTTTGCTTGGTCGTGCCGTGTGTTTCCCGAAGAACAATCAAATCATTATGTGCCTCTCTGTCTGCCTGGCAGTATCCTCAGCAATCATGTTCATGCCTGCTTTCATCTGCGCTGCTTGGTCGCTAGCCATGCCCTCTCGAAAATTCGCATGTTGCACGGCCGCGATTGCTTCTTCATTCGCATGATGGACAAGGGCGGCCGCTTGCACGGCCCTCGCCTGCGTCGCGTCCTCCGCTGACGGATGAGAACTCCGTGCCTGCGTCTCCGCGTTGTTCAGATGTTGATGCAAATATGCTTCCATTGCAACTATTTCCCCCGCTTCTCGGTTTCCTGTTACCAAAATATTATGTTCAGTTGCTCTTCCAACTCCATTCTTTCTTTGCCCACTTCCATCGAAGTCAACGGAGCTGCTTCCGACGCTGCCAGCCAGCCTAGATGGGCATGCTGTGTTGCATGCAGAAGAGTTCCCTCCTCGCTGTGAATCATACAGTTTTGTTCCTCCTTCTGAACATTAATTGCACGAACTTGCACAGCCAGTTCCTGGCGAAGTGTCTTTGCATTGGCTAACCTTTTCTCTGCCCCTGCTTGCTGCCATACTACAAGGGCAAGACACCGACATTGGTGTTCTTTCATGTATACGCATTCAGAGCAGAGCCAACTGATATTACAAAACAGGCATACGCATGAGCAGCCTCCTCACACTGGTCGATGTCACGGACCATGTATTTTACGCGCCATCTCGGGGCATGTATTCTCCGCTCGCGGGTAACATCGACCTCCTCTGGCCCAACGACCCATTTCCAACAGAAGGCTGCCGGAAGACGATCTACGATATCTTCGACCGCTCATCGATTGGTTACACATTCTGGGTGTCAGCGGCGATATGGACACGGATCTCCTGACGACACCACGTGGGGGCAACATTAGGGTCGGGAGCACCTCTGGAACTTCATCTGTAGCTGGACACTGCTGGTCGTCAGTTAGGCCCGCTTCCAAGCTGGAGGTCTGCATGGGGGAGCCATGTTCCATGCTTACATCCTTGGGCACCCTAGGCCGCATGGCTTCAGGTGTCTCTCCCATGCTGTCCCTTGCGCGATCCGTCTGGGGTATGATCAAAGTTTCTAATTTCTGATGGACGAACTGTCAGAATTCAGATCTTCGTCTTGCAGGATAGCTGAGACTTCATGGTCCAGACCAATCAATTTCTTCCTTCACTAGATGAACTAGCGGCAATTCGCTGTCTTCCATCGGAACAAGGGGATCATACATTAACGAGATGATGCGAACACCTGGAGGGATATGACCTGATGAATCATTCGGCGGAATGTTCGGCCGACATTGCGCTGTCTCCCATGGAACAAGATGGTGATATCATCGACTGCGGCTATTTGCATGTCCGGCAAATCAGTCGAATTTTCGGCGGGTAACCAGTCATTCGCCGGAGGAATACGCTTTCCTGCAAGACTAAGATGTAATGGCGATTTCAATATATCGGCCTCATCGCCCATGATGGGTATACCAGACATGTTTCTCCAGTCTCAATAGCCTGTTAAGCTGACGTGATATGGTGAGAGATAGCAAACGAGGACGGAACGACGACGAAGCGACGACCCCAATCCACACTTTCCCTCACGCGCAATGCGCGCTCAATCCTGTAAGTAGCGCAGCTGCGGGGAGGCGTCAGAGGGCGGCAGGGAGCGAGCGGGGACAGAAGAGTAACAACTGCATCATTAATCTTACCAGTAGCATCCGCATCGTTATTCATGATCGTGCTCCTCCTCATCCTCCTCAGCATCATAAGCATCATCATAAGCATCATCGCCGTCGTCGTCATTACCGTCGTCGTCGTCGTCGTCGTCGTCTTCGTCCCCGTCGTTGTCGCCGTCGTCGTCGTCGTCGTCGTCACCACCACCACCATCACCACTACCACCAGTATCATAATCATCATCATCATCATCATCATCATCATCATCATCATCATCACCATCATAATCATCATCGTCATCAGCAGCAGCATCATCACCACCACCATCATCATCAGCATCAGCATCATCATCTTCATCATCATCATCATCATCATCATCAGCATCACCATGATCATCATCAGCAGCATCATCACCATGATCATCCTCATCATCATCAGCAGCAGCAGCATCAGCATCATCATCATCATCACCATCATCATCCGCCTCGTCCTCCTCCATCTCCTCCTCCTCCTCCTCCTCCTCCTCACCATCACCATCACCATCACCATCACCATCACCATCACCATCACCATCACCATCACCATCACCATCACCATCACCATCATCATCATCATCATCATCATCATCATCATCATCATCATCATCATCATCATCCCTTCATCGTCAGCCCTTCTCTCGCTCCTGCTGCTCATCCACCTCGCCCTTGCCCCACCCGCGGGAGGCACTGCCGCGGGGAAAAGCCTGTGGCAGCGGTGACGGCACGGCTGCCTGCGGCGGTGCTGGCGGCGCTGCGTCTGGCGAGGGCGGCGGCTGTCCCGCCGGCGGCGGCTGTTCGGTCGGCGACGGCTGCTGGCCGAGCGGCTGCTGCTGGCCGAAAGGCTGCTGCTGGCCGAAGGGCTGCTGGCCGAAGGGCTGCTGGCCGAGTGGCTGCTGGCCGAGCGGTTGCTGGCCGAACGGCTGCTGCTGCTGGCCGAGCGGCTGCTGGCCGAGAGGCTGCTGGCCGAAGGGCTGCTGGCCGAAGGGCTGTTGGCCGAGCGGCTGCTGGCCGAAGGGCTGCTGGCCGAAAGGCTGCTGGCCGAACGGCTGCTGGCCGAGTGGCTGCTGGCCGAAGGGCTGCTGGCCGAAGGGCTGCTGGCCGAAGGGCTGTTGGCCGAGTGGCTGCTGGCCAAAGGGCTGCTGGCCGAAGGGCTGCTGCGAACCAAGTGGCTGCTGTCCAAACGGCTGTGTGCCCAATGGCTGCTGGCCAAGTGGTTGCTGGCCGAACGGCTGCTGAAGGCCAATCGGCTGGTGACCGAATGGCTGCTGGCCGAACTGCTGTGTGCCCAACGGCTGGGAGTGGGGAAACTGGGCTGGCTGCTCGCTGGGCACGATACGGCTGGAGTCCTTCGGCAACCACTCGTCCTTGGCACTGTCAAATCCATCGTAATGAACCTTCACCCTGTCCGCGTCTACTTCTACCACGGTGCAGTCCCGCGACTTCCCAGATGGGCTCACGACCGTGACCTTGCTGCCCACCGCGAGGCTTTCTTTCGGGGCCTCCACAACGGGCTGCGAACCTTGTAGCCCAGATTCGGGCTCCTGTCGGCTGCGCACAATACGATCGGAGTCCAGCGGCAACCACTCATCCTTGTTGTTGTCGAGGCCGTCGTAATGTATTTTCACCCTCTCAGAATGTATCTCCACGACAGTGCACTCCCGCTGCACGGGCAATTTGGCTGGCTGCTCGCTGGGCACGATACGGCTGGAGTCCTTCGGCAACCACTCATCCTTAGAACTGTCGAAGCCATCGTAATGAACCTTCACCCTGTCCGTATCTACCTCTACCACGGTGCAATCCCGCGACTTCCCAGAGGGGCTCACGACAGTGACCTTGCTGCCCACCGCAAGCCCGTCTTGCGGGGCCTCCACGACCTGGATCTTGGCACCGACGGCCAACCCTTTCGCTGGGGCCTGCACCGCTACCTGCTGCCCTGGGGAAAACACGGCCCCTGGATCTGCTTGCTCTGCCGCCTGCCCCACTGCAGCTGGATCGCCCACCACCACGCTATCGACGAAGAGGGCCAGCGACGCTAAGGCTCTGACGGTCGCGAGCAGCTGCTCCTTGGCCTCTGGCGCGTCCATCGCCAGCGAGCTCCCAGCGGGCGGCCCCTCCGCAAGGCAGGCCAGCGCGGCCAACGCGTCGCGCAGCTGGTGCCACCCCCTCGGCGCTGGCTCGCCGGCTGCGGCGTGGGGCCACTGCTCCGACGAGGCCAACTGTCGCCACGTCGGGGGGCACGGCAGCTGCGAGGCGATCAGTGCCAGGGCCTCCATGGCCTCCTCGCCGCCTCCGTCGGGACCGCTGGCGCACAGCATCCCCGCCACGCCAGCCAGCGCGGTGCCCAGCAGCGCGCGCCGCTCCCGCCGCTCCGCGTCGCCGGCCAGCGCGGGCGCGTGCGGGGCAGCGGGACCGCCTCGCTCGGCCAGGCCCGCCTTGGCCAAAGCGGCCGCCGCGCCTGCCGCGAGGAGGCCGCGGGTCGCCACCCCGGAAGGCACCCGATGTCCCAGCACCCGCGAGGGATCCTCCTGCACACACGGCTGCTCGGCGCCCTGCAGCCGCCGGAGGGCATCTGCAGCCGCTGGCCCAGCACTCGCTGGGGCAAGGCCTCCCAGGCCAGGCGCCGCTAGGACAGCCACGGCGCAGAGCGCCTCGCGGATGCCCTCGAGGGCGTAACCCGGCGCCGCGGTCAGGGCCATCTCCTGCGGGACGCCCAGCGCTGCCACGGCCTCGGCGAGGGGCGCCAAAGCCAGCCCCGCCAGGTTGGCCTGTGCCTTTCGCGAGGCGGCGGCCGCCGACGGGGTGGCCTGGACCTCCTTGGGCACGGGCCGCTCGTTCATCCCCGATGCGAGCTGAACTTCTGTCTGCATCTCTGCCTCGGCGAACTTCGTGGCCACCTGCGTCTCCGCCTCGGCGGTCAAGGGCCTGGGGGGCCTCGCCACGCCGGTGACGGTGCGCTGCGTGCCGGCGCCGCGCGAGGCGCTGTTGCAGATGTACTCGGGGATCGCCAGCGACTTGGAGCAGCCTCTGCAGGAACCCACCTCCTCCAACACCAGCTTGGTTCCGCTCGTGGGTCTCCACTGCGGGCCAGGCCCAGGGGTGCCCAGGGCCCACCCGTCCACGGAGCGGATGGCGAACCGCAGCTGGCCACCCCTCGAGCCCTCGTCGACGCTCGCCACCATGTGCCCGCCGGCCATCCTCCAGAGACTCAGCGGCACGTCCGCGTCGCCCTGGCCGGGCACGCGCGCGCGGATGTGGTCGAGCTGGTCTTCCACCTGGCCGGTGACCAGCGCCTCGACCGGCTCCACGGGGGGCTCCCGGCTCTTCTTCGAGTGCTCGTACCAGGCGTGCAGGCACCCGGTGGCCCCCGCTGTGGCGCAGTAGCGCGCGCCGCAGTCCGGGCATTCCCGGAAGACCAGCGGCTCGCTGCGGCACACGACGCAGACGCTGGCCTTAGGTCGGGCATGTCCTCCTACAGGCGGATTTTGGAAGAAAATGAAACATAGCCAGTACATATGTAATAATGCTAAACATCGTCCCCAGACTGTTTTTTTAACTATGTTTGAATCTTCCTTCTGTAGACGGACACGCCCGACTCAACGCTGGCCTTCGCGCGCACAGCCGCGGCCGCCTCGCGCTCGCCGCCAGCCGAGTCCTTGCTGCCGGCGGGCCGCGGTGAGTCGGCCGGCGGCGAGGGCGCGCCGTCCCGGGAGCCCGTGGTGCTGGGTCGCGCGGCCCTGGCGAGGCCGCCGACGGGCGCGTAGGCCAGCACGCCCGCGCGTTCCCACCCCGGCCCGCGCTGCTGTCGGGCGCGGCCTGACCTACCCCTAGCAAGCCATCCCCTTCCGTGACGCCATCCTCGCCTCTCGGGCTCCCCTCCAGCCGCATACAGAAGTCTTGGGGCGAGGCGTGGGGGACGTCACGGAGGGGGATGGCTTGCTAGGGGTCGGTCAAGCCGCGCCCGATGCTGGGCCCCGCCGTAGCCGGCGGCCGGCATCGCGGCTGGCTGCGATGCCGGCCTGGCCGGCCGGGTGCGGGCTGGCCCGCGCGGCCCTCGGCGACAAGGCTCGAGCCAAGAGAGCCGGCGGGGGCCACGAGTGGGCGGGGGGGGGGCGGGGAGAGGGGAGGGGGAGGAGGGTCGGGGAGTGAGAAAGGGCTGCCCGTACAGCTCCCATTATGATCAAGAGTGTGGTAGAGTAGATAGATACGGGGCGTGAAAACGACCACGGCCACTGCTTTTCTTTTGTTGCCGCCTTCCAGCCCGCAGAAACAAAGCAGTGGTTGTGGTCATTTTCGTTGAGCTTGGCACCCGGGAAATGACCACAACCACTGCTTCTGTTTCGGCCGGCTGGAAGGCGGCGCAAACAAGAAGCAGTGGCTGTGGTAATTTTCCCGTCCCGCAATACAGCGTAGAGTTTTCCCAGACGGGTCGAATATGGCGAAGCATGGGGCCCCACTTGACGTCACGAAACAACGCCCAGTATAGGCAGTGCTCAGTTTGAGCCGGCACGGTCGTGTATCGCGACCGCAGCACTTATCTTCCCCCTGAAAGCTACCTTCAGAATCGATGGGGGGAGGATGACAATGTGGTTCGAAAGCGCAGATAAAACAACAGTACAGCGCAACCAACGTTTAACGCGTCTGTGGCCATTTCCAAAAAAATCAGAGACAGTAGTAGACCTGATGATGACAACCTGTCGCAGCAACCACAGCAGTCACTGAAGGGCATGTTGCCATGCTCTTGAAGCGCATCGCCTAGCCAGGCTGCGGGAGATACTCACCGCAACGCTGGCACGCATTAAGTGCAAACACAGGGCAGTATGTTGCCGCCTGCTCGAGGACATCCAATACTCCCTTGTGTGTGCCCGTTGGCAGCCATGCCCTCGGTGTTACACCATTGCATGTTGTGTATGATGCCCTTGGCCATGAACTGACGCATCCAACTGATATGTCCTAGCAGTGTACATCCAGCAAGCTTCTTCAAGTGAAAGGCAGACGAAGAGGAGGCGGAGAAGGAGGAGGGCGAGGAGGCGGACTGGGAGGAAGGGGAAGGAGGAAAGGGAGCAGGAGAGCCCGAGGAGAGGGAAGAGCATGCACATGTGTGAGCACGCCCGCGCGGCACAGCCCACCGAGGCTGGGGCGCGTGCTCGCCTCACCCCCCCCCCCCCCGAGCACGGCGGAGCGAGAGGGAGGAGGGCACCGGCAGCAGAGCAGCGGCGGGAAGGGAGAATGGCGTGGGGGAACCAAGGGGTACCAGTACAGTGGGGGCCCGACCGCAATTGAAGCCGGGCAAGGGCTGCTGAATCCGTGGCTGCTAAAATCGACCTCCAGGAAGTTGTCTTCGTCCTTCCGGGAAGAAGCCCGTTGACTGTTTCGCGTGCCGCGCCTCATTCCGGGAAGTTATTCTTTCCTTTCGGGAGGGCTGTTTTAGCAGCCACGGTTTTAGCAGCCCTCGCCCAGCTTCCGACACAAGAAACCTTCCACAAGAAACCCAACTCTGAGACCCCAGGACGTGCATCGATCTTTGGTGTGGGAGCGCCACGCTTTCCGTAGCAAACCATCGAAACCCAAGAAACCCAGGGCACCCTGGAGGCAAGCAGGGTGTTTCTTGGCATGGAGCCCTTTGTACCAGTACCGCTGCAGACCTCTCCTGGGATGCGTTCTGCCCAGAACTTCGAGGAGGATCCAGCCGTGGCGACGAGGGCTCTCCAGAACGAGCAGCGGCATCGGCAGCCTTTCCACCTCCGAGTGGCGGCGCGCAGAAGGGGGGTAGGGAAAGGGGGGTAGACTTCTTAGAAGGAGGCTGCTTCTCAGAAGGCGCCGGCCCTACACCTACAGAGAAGGTCCGCGCCTTCTAAGAAGCAGGGGCGCTTCTGAGAGCCCTCTCCTCCTCCTCCTTCCTCCTTCCTCCTACTCCTCCTCCTCTTTTCCCTGCGCGTGGCCGATCTAAGGGAGGGAAGGAGGCGAGGCGAGGCGAGGCGAGGCGCCAGTCAGTCGTCCTGGGGGACGGCCCTACGAGAGCCGCGGTCGTAAGTCGGGCCTGTCCACGAAAAATAAAAAAGACCCCCAAAATAATCAAAACATAATCCAAAAATAGTCTGGGGACTATTTTTTATTATTTTCTGACCTTTTTGGGGTATTTGTAGGGGTATTCTTTATTTTTCGTCGAAAATCCTCCTGTAGGGGGACACGCCCGACTTAACCGTGGTCTTGAGGGGACGGCCACTGCGCACTGCAAAGCGAGGGGGAAGGAGGAAGGAGAGGGGGACCCAGGCCGTGGTGCCGAAGTTTCGCGCACAATCCCCAACATTGACATCTGCCAGAAATTTGGGGTCCGAGTAGATGGGGTCGACGGATCGCGTCGCATCGGCGACGTCGGCGATGCATCGAAGACGTCGGCGTGGGGAAACACGGGCTCCACATCGAGCCGCATCGGCGATGCATCGGCGATGCAGCGCGATCCTCCGACCCCATCTTCTCGGACCCCATCCATGAGGCCTAGAGGGCAGGGAGGGGGGCCGGAGGGAGGAGAGGGGGACTCAGGCCGTGATGTTAGAGTTTCGCGTGCAATCCCCAACATTGCCATGGATGCCATGGCAATAGCCATGTTTGAGTCATTGTAGAACATGTTCTAACAATGATTCGAACATGTGTTTAAATATCTTAAACATGTTTGAAACATGCTTGAAACATTGTTTGGACATCTGGAAATTATTTGGCAGCACGCTTCCTCTCCATTAGTCGACTTCCACAACAGCATTGGCATCTGCCAGGAGTTTCGGCTCCAGGGAGGGGGGAAGGGCAGGGACGGGGCAGGCAAGGGGAGCCCATGCGCTCCACTTGGTGTGGAGGCACCAGGGCGAGCAGACCAGGAGGGGCCTGCTCCTTCGCAGCTGCCGCTCTCTTGCCAAGGGGCAGAGAGCCAGGAGGAGGGGCTCCTCCTCCTCCTCCTCCTCCTCCTCCTCCTCCTCCTCCTCCTCCTCCTCCTCCCCCTCCTCCTCTGCGAGGAGCCGGGACCCCCTGGCGACGCGCCCACCGGTCCTCCACGGGTGCGCCCACCTCATCGTCGCCCTCCGCCTCGTCCCAATCCTCCTGGCTCGGAGAGGCCAGGAGGCGGCGCCGCCGTCGCTGCCATCGCTCCCCTCGCCGACGACGCCCGAGCCGCGCCGCGGATGACCACCACCGGACTGGGCCGCCCCGGCTGGGTCCAAGGCATGGGAGGAGGAGGAGGAGGAGGAGGAGGAGGAGGAGGAGGAGGGAGGAGGAGGATGAAGATGGGGATGAGGATGAGGATGAGGATGAGGATGAGGATGATGATGATGATGAGGAGGAGGAGGAGGAGGAGGAGGAGGAGGAGGAGGAGGACGAGAAGGAGGAGGGGGAGGAGGAGGAGGAGGAGGAGGAGGAGGAGATACCATTATCCCCCCTCCCCCCTTTGTGGCAACCATCCTCGGCGGCGCCTGGGGGTGCCGCGCCGAAGGCGGCGGCGGCGGCGCCGCCGAGCTCGCCCTCCCGGTCAGAGAGAAGCCGCGCCCCTGCGAGGCGGGGCGCGCCGTCTGGGCCTGGGTCCTTGCCGAAGATCCGCCTCACCAGCGCCGCCGCGGTGGCGACATCGGCGGCGGCTCCACCGCCGAGCGCGGGGGTCCTGAGCGTACTCTCGGCACGGCAGACGGGGAAGTCGCCCTGGAACTCGGCCAGTTCCTCGGGGCAGCGCAGGTGGTAATTAGCTGCGGGGCGTCACCTCTCGCAGCGGCCCTGGCCAGGGGCCCAGCCACGCCGTGGGCGCAGCGCCGCCGCAGGAGCAGCGCGGAGCTTGCGGGGAAGCTGTTCACCAGCAGCGGTGGCGTCCGCAGCCGCGCTGAAGTCCCCGCCGCCGCAGAGGGCCAGGCCCCTGCGCTCGGCACCACTCGGCGGGTCGGCAGTGGGGCGCAGCAGGCACCGCGGCAGGCAGAGGAGCCGCACTTGCGGCGGCACGTGCCGCCGGCTGGCCAAGGCCTCCGCGTCGCTCACCTGCGCCGTGCCCTGCCAGCCGAGCCTCCAGGCCGTCGTTTTTTGAGCTCAACGCCCGCACAGCCTTGGTGAAAAAAGCACAGCAGTAGTGGCTGGGAAACCACTGCTGGAAGTGAGGGAGACCTCACTGACCGAAAGAGCACCTGCAGCAGCCCCATGGGCCAGGAGGCACTGGCCACGCGACGGGCGACCGCCCCGTGGCCAGAGCAAAAGAAAAACAATCCAGCGCCGCTGCAGGGCATGCGGTCGGGGAGGGCAAATCCTCCCCCGTGCCTGCCGCGCAACCTGTACAGTGAGGTTGGCGGCCCCCTGAGCAACTGTCACCGCAGGGGGGGACATCACCCCACGGCCGTGCGACAGGGGGCGAGGACACCACTGGGCAGTGAAAAGGACGGCCAGCGGCGCCTGAACGACGGAACCCCAAGGCCCGAGTTCCAGGGCTGGCTGCGTAGCAAGCACCGCCTAGCAGAGCACAGCTGACCCCAGATCGGACCTGCCGTAGGCGCCTGACACGCCACGAGACTTGGCTGGTGGACCAGCGCTGGTCGGAGAGGGCAAGGCATCCTCCAAGCCTGCCGCTCCACCTGAGAGAAAGGTTGGCGGCCCCCTGGGCAACGGTCACCGCGGGGGAGACATCGCCCCACGGCCGTGCGACAGAGGGCGAGGACGCCACAGGGCAGTGAAACGGACGGCCAGCGGCGCCTGCGCGGCGGAACTCCAAAGCCCGAGTTCCAGGGCTGGCTGCGTGACCAGCACCGCCACACAGGGCGCAGCAAAGACCCCAGATCGAACCAGCCGCAGGCGCCACACACGCCGCGAGACTGGCTGGTGGTCCAGCGCTCTCCCCTGAGCAACGGTCACCGTAGGGCGCCACCCCACAGCCGTGCGACACAGGGCGTGAGCAGCACGAGGCAGTGAAAAGGACGGCCATCAACGCCTGCACGACGGAACTCCAAAGCCCGAGTTCCAGGGCGGGCAGCGCGACCAGCACCGCCGCACAGTGCGCAGCACAAGCCCCAGATCGAACCTGCCACGCGAGCTCAGTACCAAGAAAGGGAATAGAAGGCGCACCGCAGGGCGACTGTCAGGGAGGCCTTGCCTCACTCGTGCCCTGGGCCGCGGCGAGCAGACGTTGGGCCAGAGCAGCCTGGCGCCTCTCGCGAGCATCCTCCACCTTCGAGGGCGGGGGGGCCTCAACCGAGGGAGTAGGGGCCTCCACATCCTCCAAGCCAGAAGCTGCGGCAGGGGCCCTCTCTGCACCACCGCCTGTGGACTCCACGTGCCTCTCCTTGGGAGCGCCAAACAATTCGCACATAGAAAACACGTTCACAGAAACAACACGACGCCTGGGGTTCGGGTGGATGCCTCGGCAGAGGTCCCGCCATGAATACTCGGCGTGCCTGGGTGGTACCTCAGCGCAAACCTTCCCAAGACCGTGGATCCTAGCGCCACTGCTGTGATAACGGCACTTAATGCAAACAAGCAAGCGGAAGCCATCGCTGCAAGAGAACGCCAACACACGGTGGCGCAACGAGACCAACACGCCTTCATCCAATTTGCTCTTGTCTGTGCAGTGGCCAGGTTCTGTTTCATCGGTAGCCCTACAACCAGGTAAACCCACTCTACAGCGCCACAAGCCAAACCAAGACACCCAACCATGGCCAGGCTTATCGAACGACAGAGAAGACTGACGGGCTGGCGGGTGGTACGCAACCTCCGACAGGTCGAGCCTAGGCCACTCCAGAAGGATTTTCGGGGCGAGCTTGCAGACTGCCTTGGTGATGTCAACCTGCTTACCGGCATCGGCAAGGCCATTAGCGTCAGAAGCATGTAACGATAAAGCAGCTTTGTCGGCAGCGGCAGCATCGTTATTGCAGCTGCGACAAAAAAATCAAACGTGTCAATGCCCGACTCATCGAGGTCTTTGTGAGCGGCCGCTTTGTCAACAGCAGAAATCCGATCGCCCTCACGGGAGCTCGC